AGGCTAGGGGGCTGGCGAGCGAGCGTGTGATCGCTCTGCTCCACTCCCCCTCCTCCGCTCAAATTCGCCCCACACAGTAGTCAAAGAATAGGAAAAAAAAAAGGAAAAAAAGGAGAAAAAAGGTTAACACGAAGGGGAGCTATTCAAAAATAACGTAAAAGCCTAACGCTCAAGGAAAGGAGAAAGCCTTAAAAGAAATGGAGAAGAAAACCCCCACAGACACACAATACCTTAGCAATCTGTGGAGCTCCAAAAATCACTACAGTGTTTGCCAGCAACTGAGTGAAGACTGGGGGATCATGGGACCAGAGGCGTGGCTTGGGAGCCGGAAAGGGGAACAAAAGCCTTTTGTTTTCACTCAGTTGTTTGCCAAGCACTGAAGGATTAACCCATGCATGGATAGTGGGAGCAGCGCACAGGAAAAAGAGTGCAGAGAAGACCAGCAAAGATGACAAGGGATCTGGAGGCAAAACCATATAATGGTTAAACAGCTAAGGAAACTAGGCATGTATAACCTAACCAAGTGAAGGCTTAGGTGTGACATGATAGACATTTTCCAATATTTGAGGGAATTTCCAATATCCAGAGATAAGGGGGCTGACCTATTCTCTAAACTACCCGAGGGCAGGAAAAGAAGCAATGAGCTAAAGCTCATCAAAAGAAATCCAATCTTGAAACAAGCAGGAATTTCCTGATAGAGGGAATGGTGAATCAATGAAGCATCCAGACTTGTGGGTGATCCGTTGCTGGAGTTTTCAAGAAATAACTGGACAACAATTTGCCCCTGATGGTATAAGGTCTCTTACCTTGGCCAGGTGGATGGACTAGAAGACCTCCGAGGTCCTTTCCAGCCCTATGACTCTATGATTCTATATATAATATGATATTCTTGCCATGGCAGATGAATTACTTAGATTACTCTCTGACAACAGTTTACTGTACACATCAGAATGCCAACCAAGGGAATTCCTGTTGTGTACATCCACCAGAGGCATCCAAATGGAGGGTCCATAACATGAGACATCCTCTGGGGTACTGCTACCATTGCAAACATTTCCAAAAGATGTAACCCAATTGCAATTGTTAATATAACAGAAAGGGAAAATCCTTATTTGGGGGAAATAAAAAAATAGATCTATATGCAAAGCATGAAGGTAGAAAGGCTGGATAGAAATCCAATGATAAAGAAAAGAACAGCTACAGATTGTCCCAAAGGTACTTGTTTTTTTTTTTTTTCCCAAAAGGCAACTGGACTTCCTTTGTTTTTCTTTGAAAACGGACTTCAGTTGACTTACCTGAACGTCTCTTGTCAGGGTAATGTGAGGATAATCCATGCATGGGTTAACTCTCATCTATTAACCAGAGACTGAGTGTAGATTTTTTTCAAAGTGTTTAGCCACGCCTCCTTACTCGGTGAGCTTCAATCTTTTTTCACGAAGGTGCGGTTCACTAGAGAATCTGCAGAAAGAAACAAAGAACAAAACCACCACCCAGGCTAGGCTCAGGAAGCCGAAAGGAAGGGATGCATTATCCTCACATCACCCTGAAAAGGGACATTCAGGTAAGTCAACGTCCGTTTTCCAGTGTGATGTTTGGATAATCCATGCATGGGATGTACCCAAGCTTAAGGACCATGGGTGGGAGGCTGACTGATCCCTAGGTCCTGGGTGGAGTGAACACTCTGCAACACCCATCATCCAAAGGACGCCTCAGCCAGGCACAGCTGTCTAATTTGTAGTGTCAAATGAACTGTGATAGCGACAACCACGTAGCCACTCTGCAAATGTCACTGACAGAAGTCTGGGTGGCCCAAGCAGCCAAAGTTGCAACGCTGCGAGTAGAATGTGGCAAAATCCGGCCTGGCCTTGAGTTCATATGCCATTGAAATACACGCCTTCAGCCATCTGCCCACTGTGGAAGATGATACCTTTCGGCCCATTGACGAAGGATGAAATGATACAAAAAGCACTTCTGTCTGTCGAAAGGAAGCCGTCCTCTTAATGTACCTGCGGAGGGTCCTCCTTATGTCCAAGGTGTGCCACCGTTCTTCAAGTGGATGGTGAGGATCTGGACAAAAATCCAGAAGAATGAGCTCTTGGGCACAGTGAAACCAAGAGTTCACCTTGGGCAGAAAGGAGGAATCCACCCACAGTACAACCGTATTGGAATGGAAGATACAGAGGTCCTTTCTAATAGACAAGGCTGCCAGTTCTGAAATCCTCCTAGCTGATGTAATAGCCAAGAGAAAGGCAACCTTTAGAGTCACAAATTGGAGAGAGATGGAACCCAGTGGTTCAAATGGTGAAGATGTCAGAGTTTGAAGTACCAATTGAAGATCCCACGTCGGGTAGCGGTGCACCTTGGAGAAAACAACAAACTCTTGGATGTTGAGATAGCGTTCAGTGAGAGTCACAGGTAAGTAGAGTAGACAAAGCCACCACCTGTCTACGTAACATAGTGGAAGCCAATCCCTTGTCAAGGCCTGCTTGCAAAAAGTCTAGAACCTCGGGAACTGATGCAGAAGTTGGGTCTAAGTGCTGTTTGGAACACCACAGACAAAAGGATTGCCAAGAAGCATTGTAAATCCAGTTCATGGACTCCTGCCTCGATGCCTGTATAGTCTGTATAACCTTCCCCAAAAGGTTATCTTTTCTCAGGAGGATCCTTTCAAGTGCCAGACGCTCAACTGGAGCCATTGCGGCTCCAGATGGTAAATGACTCCCTGGCTGAGAGAGATCCTGTCCCGAGGAATCCTCCAGGGTCGGGATACCGATAGACTCACTAGGTCGGCGAACCAGGGACGGTGTGGCCAATAAGGTGCCACCAGAAGAACCTCTGCGTGTTCGAGTAACAGCTTTTGAAATACCTTTGGAATGAGTGGAATGGGGGGAAATGCATAAAACAGTTCCTGCGGCCAAGGATACCTGAGTGCATTGCAGCCTTCTGCCCCTGGGCTCGGAAACTGGGAGAAAAAGCGCTGAACTTGTTTGTTGTCCAGCCGAGCAAACAAATCGATGATGGGTAGACCGAATCTCCGCACCAGGTCCTGAAACAACTGTGGATGGAGACACCATTCTGATAGATCCAGATGCGATCTGCTCAGCCAATCCACTTGAACGTTTAAATTGCCGGAGATGTGCTCTGCTTTCAGAGATAGTGTGTACCTCTCCACCCAGCTCATTAGTCTTTCTGCCTCGTCCATGAGGGATTTGGATCGAGTGCCCCCTTCTCTGATGATGTGTGCTTTTGTTGCCATACAGATCAATACATGCTGACCTGTCACTGTGCCTCAAAAGTGTTTGAGAACAACTTGCACTGCCCTCAACTCCAGCCTGTGCTGTTGTTCCACTGGGGACCATTGTCCCTGAGCCACCTGAGAACCCAAATGTGCGCCCCAGCTGAAAAGGCTTGCATCTATGGTCACCATGATGCGTTCGGGTTCCCGGAACACACACCCTATTTGAAGTGCCAGAGACGTCCACCATCTCAAGGAAAGTCGGACCTGTGGTGGAATGACCACCCTGGTCCTGGAGGTGCTGCTCCCTGTTCTCTGGAATGGTAGTAAAAACCATTGTAGCAGACGAGCATGATGTCAAGCCCAAGGCACAATTGAAATGCACAAAATCATTTTCCTGAGCAACTGTGATATCATGAGCAACATAACCCACCATTGGGACAGAATTTGTGTCACTAACTCTCTGAGACTGATTTGTCAATCAGGTGATAGAAACACTTGGCCTTTGTCGAGTCGATCACCACCCCCAGGTGAAGGATGCGGGTTGTCGGTTGTGGTGACTTTTCTTCAGGTTGAGGGAAAACCCATGTTGTTGGAGAGTACAAATCACCATCTCTCTGTCCTGTGCCGCCTGCGACGGGGAGGACAACAGAATCAAAATGTTGTCTAAGTAGTAAAGTATGCGTACCGGGATCTCCCAGACAGTTGCTGCTACAGCCACTAATAGTCTGGTGAATGTTCTCGGAGCCGATGAAAGGCCGAAAGGCATGGCCCGATATTGGAAATGACGATTGGCATAAGTGAACTGGAGATATTTGCGATGTGATAGGTGGATCGGAACATATAAGTAAGCTTCCTTGAGGTCCACTGACTGTAAGAGAGCAGGCAGAATTAACTCTAGTCCAATTAAGACCAAAGGACACCACTTTTCAATCCAGATATTAAGGCTGCGCCCAAAATGACCACTCACACAATTGCCAGTACTAAATTAGATGCTGGACTCAGAATAAAGAAATACAGGCCTGGCAGGAATAGGTACAAGATGTCATCACGATGCTGCATACAAATTGCAGGAATTGGCAATGTGAAGCCTCACATGCAATTCCAGCGTGGAAGGGACAGAACTCCATATTGCTGCCTTTGATGAGATCAGGGAAGATGGTCTGGAGCCCAGATGCGTCTAACTCACCTCCCAGCACCGAGGAAGGTGGAATCAAACACCTCACAAATTCCAGACTCTCAGCTCCTTCTATAATCAAAAATCCAGAAAAACAAAAATTCTAAATAAACTAAAACAAAAAATCTAAATTCTAATTGCTAGAGCAAGCAAAACTCAAGTCTCTATAGCTGACTGAGTGAAAAAGACTGAAGCTCATCGAGCAAGGAGGCATGGCTAAACACTTTGAAAAAAATCTAAACTCAGTCTCTGGTTAATAGAGGAGAGTTAACCCATGCATGGATTATCCGAACATCACACTGGAAAATGTTTCTCTTCTCATCAAGAAGCTTCTTCAGTTCTGACTCAAGCTTCTTGGGTGAGAATCAAAATGTCTCCAAGGAAAAACAAAGAAAGTCCAGTTGCCTTTTGAAGAAAAAAATAATACCTTTGGGACAACCATGACCTGGATGGCTGAGAATTTCCATAGACATTCAGCCAGATACAAATTACAGATGGTCAATTTTCTTCAACATAAAGTATAGGCAACGAAGCTACAGAAGCAGTCATCATTTAAACAAATTACTGTATTGGTGGTAACTCACATACCTGAATAAAATCATGATGAAATGACAAGGTGGACAAGCCAGTAGAAAAATCTGATATTTAAACAAAAAACAAAACAAAAAGGAGTTAGCATCAAGGTCTTTCTATTTAATTTAATTGCATCTTTACATAAATGCATAGAGACAGAAAAAGCACACATGAAAGAAATTACTCATATTTTATTTTTAAACCACTCAATCAGACGTTTAAAGCTTGCAATGATTACTATTCAAATATTCCCAGGACAACATACATTTATTTATTTATTTATTCGTTCATTTATTTATTTATAAAATTTATATGCCACCCATTTCACAATTGAACCACTCTGCTGATATCCAGGAGGAACTAACTAACTACCGTAACTAACTAACAGGGAATAGTGCTGTTGCTCTAATCCAAAATCCATCCCCACCTCCCAATTCTCAACCTCTCCTTCTGTTGTGCAAAGAAGCAGAGGCAGGATGGAACAACTAATGGAATCAAGAAGCACACTAGCTAGCGAAGATGACGTCTTTGAAATGTCCTTCTGGGTCACTTGTGAGAATGATCCCATAAGACACACTTTAAAAAAGCAACACTTTTTTAGTATGAAGATGAAAGTTATCTTCATCTAGATCAGGGATCACAAACTGTTTAGTTCATTGACCAGTTCATGAAGCATCAGATGATTCATCATTTCCCATTCGACTTTGACAGGTCATCCTCGACTTACGACCACAATTGATGCTAAAACCTCTGTTGCTAAACAAGTCAGTGGGTTAAGTAAATTTTGCCCCATTTTACAACGTTTCTAGCCACAGTTGTTAAGTGAATCATTGCTGTTGTTAAGTTAGTAACATGGTTGTTAAATGAATCTGGCTTCTCCATTAACTTTGTGTATCAGAAGGTCACAAAAGGGGATCACATGACCCCAGGCACTGCAATCATCATAAAAACATGCCAGTTGCCAAGTGCCTGAATTCTGATCACGTGACCACCGGGATGCTGCAACAGTCATAAGTGTGAAAAATGCTCATGTCATTTTTTCAGTGTTGTTATAACTTTGAACTGTCTTTTACACAAATGGCTGTAAGTCAAAGACTTCCTGTAATAGTACTATAAATAATAATAATATTGACTTTGGATAATCCCATCATTTCTTGGGGGTTGATAGTGGTCACTTTGGGGAACCTTGCTGTAGACAGATATAGTCACAAAGGAGTTTGGTGATGCATTTATTTGAGACAAGAGTGACCCAGTTTATTTCTTTATATTTGTCAGGAGTACTTATCCAAAATCATTTGTCATCAAAAATGTAGTATGGGACCTCAACTTCATAACTCATTTAAGGAGATGCAGAACTGGATCATGGAATGGAATGGAATGGAATGGAATGGAATGGAATGGAATAGAATAGAATAGAATAGAATAGAATAGAATAGAATAGAATAGATAGAATAGAAATAGAATAGAATAGAATAGAATAGAATAGAATAGAATAGAATAGAACGAGTGTTGGTCTTACCTGAACGCTTCTTCTCGTCGTGATGAAGGATAATACAATTCACGGGTTGTATTATCCAATCAGCACGACGGAGAACAGTCAGCCTCTTTGATGCTTGCTTGCTTTCGGCTGCCATTGTAACGGGAGGGGGGAGGCATTGCTGGTATTTGGGAGGGGGGAAAGTGAGCTGGTGGAGATGTCTCGGAAAAGGGAGGAAAATTCTCACTGTCTTCATAGCAGTTGCAGAGAGAGCTGATAGCTGTCAAGGTCAACTGCTCTGGCATACCAGATAGATTGGAGGGGGGGGCGAAGAAGTATCCCACATGAAACCTTGGGGAGATGTGGATTGGACACTCAACGGGTGCTTGGGGGGAGGGATTTGGGGGATGCTTTTAATATGTAATTTTCGTGCCTATTGCCTCAGGCTTTGCTTTGCTTTCGCTGCATTCAGTTCATACTCAGTAAAATACCTTTCTCTACAAACATGGAGTTGGGGTTTTTCTTTCTTGAGTCTTGAATGCAGGCACACCTGACAAGAACAGGATTTTTTTATTGGCCAACTGTATACAACCAGTTTCATTGTATACATGATGTACAATGACAATAAAGGCTATTATTATTAGTGTGATTGGACACACAAGGAATTTGTCTTCAGTGCATAACCTTTCAGTGTACATTCAAACAACAAAGCTATAAGTTATCATAGATCATAAATCGTAAGATGCAATCATAAATATTAAGATACAAACAACAAGTGATAAATCTTAAGATACCCAATAAGAGAAGATAGCAGGGAAGATGAGAAATGAGTTGACAAAGATAAAAAGACGACAAGGATAATAGCAATACAGCCCTACTACATGGGTAAATATCCTTAGACATAAGACAGTGCTGTGGGAACTGGGTGTTCAGCAGAGTGATGGCACTAGGGGAAAAGCTGTCTTTGTGTCTAGTTGTTTTGGCATGCTATGCCCTATAGCAGTGATGGTTAACCTTTGCGGCACCGTGCCAAAACTGGGCTTGTGCGCACGTGCTGGAGCACCGGAACCTGGAAGAGAGCAGTGGGCTGGTGCGCATGCGTGCGGTGGCCAGCTGCTCTTTCGGGTTCCGTCATGTCCATGCGTGCTGGATAGCTGGTCAGCAGCTAGTGACGGTGCATGTGCCCACAGAGAGGGCTCTGTGTGCCACCTCCGGCATGCGTGCCATGGGTTTGCCAAATTGGCCCTATAGAACCATCCCGAGGGGTGGAGTTGAAGCAGTTTCTGTCCATGGTTGTGAGGGGTCTGTAGATATTTTCCCAGCCCTCTTTCTGTTTCATGCGCTATACAGGTCCTCAATGGAAGGCAGGATCTAAAATAATTCTCATTGGACTCTTTTTGTCAAACTCCTAGTTTCTATGAGTTCATTTCAAATTAGCTATAACTTCCATCATGTAGTGTCAGCAGTGAATATGGTCTTACCAGCTGCCAGCAATTACTGCCAAAAGAGACTATTTCTAAAGTTATATTTCTTTTAATTATTCTCAGACTCTACTCCAAGGAAGATGAAATTATGCAATCCAAACAAGCTACAAGGCACTTAGTTAGATTTAGCCTTATGATGCTGCGTAAACCCAATCTTTGAAGCTTCTACAATAGACCATGAACATTATGCTAAGCTATAGCTTTTAACCTACTGCACCCCATCCCTCGCTTGCTTCCATGGTGATTAGCTTGGTCTAGTGATAAGGTATCAGGCTAGAGAGCAGGGAAATGGTGAATTCTAGTTCCACCTTAGGCAAGAAAGGCAGCTGGGTGACTAGGCCAATTACCAGGAGCTGGTAAGTTCTAGCCCCTATCTTAGACATGAAAGGGAGCTGGGTGCATTTGGGCCAATCACCAGGAGACTGGAAGTTCTAGTCCTGCCTTAGGCATGAAAGCCAACTAGGTGACTTTGGATTAGTCACGCTCTCCCTCAGCGCCAAACATCTCCTAGGATTGTTGTTGTGGGAAAAATAGAAGGAGGAGGTAGGAGTATTAGGTATGTTTGCCACTTTGAATTTCTTATAAAGTAATACAGTTAAATAAAAATCAAATAAAGAAAGAAAAGTACAGCAGGACAGAACCTACATGTGAATATTTCTGGCTGATTCTAGGAATATTCTGGAACCCCAAGGGCTAAGACCAAATTGGCAATTCAGCTCCCTTTACAGACCACAGCAAATCCAAAGGGCATCCTCATGCCTCCTGTCCATGAAACTAACAGGGTATTATGGCACCCACTTCTTGGAAAAACTTTTGTCATTTTTTAGCTGAGTCAGCACTGCAGCCAAAGTAGTTTTGACCTGCTTGTAATTTGTCAGAAAGGCTCAACTGCTTTCTGCCAAAGTTGATAAGAGACAGAAAGAATGATCGGAAAAAAACACCAGCCAACAATTCAGGGAAACCAAACATGCCACAATTGAGTGTGTACTTTTAGGGTTGAGGCAATGATAATTGACAATGAGCCTTATTCCCTCAAAAATGGAATGCAATTCTAAACTTGAACAATTTGAGTGATGCAAAAAGAATAATACTGGACTGATAGAAGAAGATATTTGTAAGTCAGGGTTGGACTGTGGGGTCCTTGGTGCTCTCTGAGCTTGGTGGCTTTTTTGCAAACATTTGAAGACCTAAGTAGGTAACATCATCTGTGCTAGAAGGGAGGAGGAGAAGGAGGAATTTTCTTTCAGTTTTCTTGCAGATATTTTACCAAGCTAGGTAACATCATCAGTGCTACAACCCCACTCCCTTCTTACACTGATGATGTTATCTAGTTTGGTAATGAAACATCTGCAGAAAAATCAGCAAGCTCAAAAAGCCCCAAGGACCCCATGGATAATACTATATTAAGAAGAGAAATGGTGCTGGTTGAAAGAAGCATTTGCCCAAGCCAAGTGAGGCATTAAAGGCATTTCAAGATAATTCTGGCAGTGTTACACTACGACACAGAATTGTTAGTGTACCTGAGGAAGTAACAAGAACCAAAGAACTTGGCTGTTTTATAAGGGGGGAAAAAAGAGAAAAAAAATTCTGCTGACTTTGACACAACTTGTCTATTAAAAACCCGGAGAAGGTGCTGAGCCAGGAGAAGGAAGACTCAGATTCTAATCCTCCCACAGCTCCAGGAGACCCAGGGGTTCAGTGCAAAATACACAACTGTTGTTGTATAGAAAAATAGAGCCTCCAGCTCCTTAATGAAAGGAGGAGCCGGCAAGAAATAAAATAAACACGCAAACAGTAATTGCTTGGTCTGTCACCACTTGCTAAATCCTAATCCAGTTAACAAACTGCAGTGGATGTGTTTGTTCAGTGCGAAAGAGCCCCTGCTAAGCTTGAGTAAGGCTTGGAGTAGAAGACTGCAAGGTTTTATCTTCTCCCCTATTTTAGTGATGTGATTAGAGTTAAGATAAGGCACCTACATTTGACAAACAGGTGTGGTAGCTCTTCACACCCCAATCAGCTTTGCTTGGATATGACAAGAAAACCGCTCCCTATCTTGCTAGAGATAAGCGTGCCAAGGGTCTTCAAGGGCTGGCTGACTGAACCC